AGATGGGACTTCAAGACTGACAACCGACAAGGCCCACCACGGTCTGGCTAACTCCAGCTTCGTTCTCTCACCTTAAAGAAGGCGTGTGTGACAGTTTATTCGTCCTCATGTCTCAGGGCATGGTGACAGATGGGACCTCAAGACTGACAACCGACAAGGCCCACCACGGTCTGGCTAACTCCAGCTTCGTTCTCTCACCTGATAGTCCATTTTCCAGCAAATATGCCTGCAGTCCAGCTGACAGACCTCTCGGTTTCCCTCCTCTGGGGCCTGGTCTCCAGCCTCCCCTCAGTAGACCCCTCTGCCCTAGCACTGCCTCTTATCCCTGAGGTAAACCTTTCTCCAAGAGGCCACCTCTGCTAGCAGCCTTCCTCCACCAGACCCCAGCTGGGGCACTTAGGTGACCTAATCCCTGCCTTTTTGGAGAACACCTGACTGACTCTTGGAGAGTATTGTGTCAAGTTAAAAATTTAAAGATGCTGCTGCTGGAATCCAGGATGTTTCCCTCCTGAACCAGAGTCCCTGTCACACCACACCTACAAACAATAGCAAGGAGACCCAACCAGCCATGTTACAAGAGACAACCATGACTGATTCTGCAGGGAGAGGGCCCTCCCCTCACATTCAGTGCCTGGAACTGCGGACAACTAGTTCATACATTGGGCAAGGCTTGCCCAATACTTACCAGGACTGTTCCCTTCTTTAAATCTGTCCTAAATCTCCTCCGGGTTTTTCTGAAGAATGCTAATGAGAGACTTCTCTGACTAGAACTTACTCAAATTCCAGGCAGGGATGCCCTGGGGGAGAGATTCTGATGAGGCAAAGAAGGTTCTCTCAGATACAGAAATCTCTTGTGGGTGGTTGGGGGCACTTCTGGCCAGCTACTGCCACCGCCTAAGCAAATCACAACAGAAAAAAGCAAAAAGGCCACATCACCAACTGGAAATTGTCTAATGGAGAAAATTACCCTTGTGAACTCTGGAAATTCTAAGCTCCATACAAGAGTACGTCCTTCGGAGACAGCCAAAGCAAAGGACCAGCTGGACCAGCTCCCATCAAGAGATGTGTGTTTTTATCCACTTCATAGTTCAGCGCCAGGAGGATTTCCCAACGAGACTAGTGAAGTGTCTTTTATATAACACCCAAGATGAGAAAAAGGCTATTTCTAAAAAAGAAACAAGTCCACATGTTGTTATGGCTGAAATGACATATGTATTCCAGCAGTTCACTTGAAAGTCTCCCTTTTTGCCTCTGCTTTGCAAAACAAAACACAAAAAACCCAAATAACAAAAAAAACAAATTAACAAAAAACCCAAATAACAAAAACCCACAAAGGATAACTAGATTCCTTAGGCCCAAATGCCCCTTCTGGCTTCAAACACTTGCCCAAGAGGGGATGCCAGCCTGTCCTACAAGCCTCAGACGGGGTGGGTGCCCCAGCTGGCAGGGCCAATGCAGGAGTCTCGAATATGCTCCAAAAAGCACAAAAGCAGCTACTACTTCAGTGTTTCTAATGCCACAGTTCTCTAGGCCACAGACTTTACAGCTGCCGTTCTCATCTCTTTTTTGGTCACAGAACCTGCAAAAAAAAAAGTACCTCTAAAGTTTACCAAAACCCACAATCTTTGTTCCTGAATGATGCACAAAATAACTACATGTGCACATATTTGAATACAACCTCCCAAGCTTCTTGATGAGCCAACTGGAGAAGACGACAAGGTGAGAGGAGACTATCTCATCCCTCCATGTTAGAAATACACACTCCCCATCTCCAGAGAGAGGACAGGCAAGATTCTCCCTGTGAAATTTCTAGAAGAATCTATCTTTGGGCTAAAGAAGTTTCTAAGAAACTTCAAATGCCGTTCTAACTTCATAGAATGTTATCAGCAGTAACAGGCCAATATTTTCAATGGAAACAAAGTGAATGCTAATGGAGCCATAACATCCTATTTCCATATTCTAATTACATCGTGACATCTAAAACCACACCTACCTCTTAAGCTTCAGACAGGCTGGCTCTCCTGCCTGTGCCTTCACTTTCTGGTGCTTTTAAAATGGCACCAAGATTTTTTTCAAAGTCTTCTACAGCCCATCTCTTAGTGTGTTATTAATCAGTGTTTGCAATAAGTCAGGAGATGTGAAGGGCCGAGAGCCAAAACAAACGGAAACATAAGGTTGAGTTGGCTCATTTTTTAAAATACAAAAACCAAAGCAGTTAGGTACAATCAAATCTCAGCATGGAAAAATAAACCTCAAAAAGAGGTAATTTCTTCAATATTCTGGCTGCTGAAGTGTTTTCAAGCAGGCCTAATTTCAAAAGCTATTACCAGTTAAGGGAAAAGCTAACTCCGTGCCATCTGAGAAAGAAAATAAAAACACTGGGGACTAAGTTTTTCACATTGAAATTTCTATCCTTAGAATACCACTGCCAGAGTGTGTTTCCATCTCACTGAATCTAAGATGTCAATGATCGTAAAACTGCACGATTATGTTTCATACCACAAGGAAGGGATTAAAAGCTTCCAATCAAACTATGACTCACCAAAAACTAAGACGCATCCCAGCACCAAGACTTTGAAAAAAATACCTTGCATGTCTGCAGGATGAAGTACGGTATCATTACCCCTATTATAAAAAGGGGAAAAAGCACTGACAGAGATTGAGCAGCTCCCAGGGGTGTGTACCCGAAACACAGAGCTCAGTGATATTGTCTTATAAACACTGCCCACTGGGGTTTACAAAGCACAGCAAGTGGAATATAAACCAGCTTACATGACATACTGCTACACAAAGAGAAAGATTCTATTAATTTCACACATTGTGTCCAAAAAGCTATATACTGCTTATGGTGCCATTTTTGTGATAACCTAATACATTTGCATATAAATTTGAAAAATAGAAAGATGGGCTACTTCTTACACTACCAGAATGGTGCACATTAAATCATTGCACATCTTCTATAGAAGACCAGTCTCAGCCACTGTATGTCATACAAATGCCAAATTCTCACCATCACACCTCACCATAAGGTAACAAACTGAATAGGTTACTCTTCATTAAAGAGATGTCCAATTTTGCAGCCTCTATGGAAAACGGTATGGAGGTTCCTCAAACAGTTGAAGATAGATCTGCCATATGACCCAGCTATCCCACTGCTGGGAATACATCCAAAGGAATGGAAATCATCAAGTCGAAGGTATACCTGTACCCCAATGTTCATTGCAGCACTCTTTACAATAGCCAAGAGTTGGAATCAGCCCAAATGTCCATCATCGGATGAGTGGATACGGAAAATGTGGTATATCTACACAATGGAATATTACTCAGCTATAAAAA